TGTGTGTGTGTGTGTGTGTGTGTGTGTGTGTGTGTGTGTGTGTGTGTGTGTGTGTGTGCGTGTGTGTGTGTAAACCTCTTGGAACTTTTGAACGACTTGACCGATTTCATCGCGGTTGGTGTCATTCGAAAGGGCTTCACTAAACTTAGATTTCCTGAAAATTTGAACCGATTCGGACCGGTAGATTTCGAGAAAATGCAAAAAAAGTGAAAAAAAAAAGTTTTTTTTTATATTTTCTTTGAATATCTCCGAATTGGCTGAACCGATCGGTCTCAAAAATAATCAGCTCTTAACCTTGAAAACCCCCATCGATCGCCACCAAAAACGTTAGAATCGGTTGATGCGTTCGTGAGATATCGTTGTCAAAAAAAATCGAAAAAAGTGTTTTTTTGTAATAACTTCGAAATTCATGGCTCGATCGATTTAAACTTGAAAATTTTTCATGGAGCTTCAAAAACTGCGTCGATTGCCGCCAACCGCGTGAAAATCGGTTCATTCATTCAAAAGTTATTGCCGTTTGAAAATTCAAAAAATTGTGTCTTTAAACTGCTATCAGAGTTTTGAGCTCGAAGAGCTAAATTGACACAAAAATAAGCTCGAAGAGCTCAAAAACGTAATGTGTAGTTTGAAGCGTTTAAGTACAAAATGAGCGGGAAGTTGCAGGGATGGCCTTTAGGGTGAACCGTTTTTCTAATTTTTTTTTTCATCATTTATAATATAAAGTAATGTCACTGACTTACTCCGACACCACATTGAGGTCACACAATACGAATCAACATAGTGTGCCACTTGGCACATGTCATCGACCTGGGCGCTCCTTTCGAACGTCATACACTAACAAGAAAAAATCAAATGTTATCTACTTTTTTATCAATAATTTCGTGACGGAATATCTCCTATTGAATATGAAATGAAGAGAAATTTTATTCTTGAGAGGAAAATAAAGTAAAGAACTGAATAAGTAGTTTAATTGGAATAAAATCATGATAATTTATTGAAATAAGGAATAAAAATATATCATAATCACTTTAACGTAGATCATAAACAATTCAAAGTTAGTGATTATTATTTATAAGCATGAGCATTGGCTGTATATGTTCTCTTGATGAAATCAGCCGCTCTTTCACCTACCATTGTAACTGGTGCTTGAGGGTTTCCTGAAACAACCTGAAGAAAAAAAAAACAATTATTCTTACTATAATTATTATAAATAAAATTCAAATTTATTTTGAACTGAATTAATAAAGTAATATTTTGATTTAAATTTATCAAAAAATAATAATAATAATAACCATTGGCATAATGGAAGCATCCGCGATACGAAGCCCTTGAATACCATGTACTCTAAGATATGGATCGACTACAGCCAATGGATCAGAAGTAGGTCCCATTTTACATGAACCAGTCTGGTGATTTTCAGTACGTGTGTCTATATGAACGGCACATCGGAAATAGCTATCTGAGAGAAATTCATATTCCTTGCAGCGATCGATCGGCTGGGTTGCCAGAGTCAGACCTTGTGATTTCATGGTAGTTGAATTTGCCATATTAATAATAACATGCATACCATCTACTAATACATCAACGTCCGCAGGATCAGCAAGATCATTACTCCAAATAATAGGATGCTCTAGTGGATTTTTACTAGCCAAACTTATAGCTCCTTTAAAAAAAAAAAAAAAAAAAAACGAAATATTTGGAATCTATCCATAATCTTAACTTATAATTCAATAGATTTAAATTGCTAATAACGATAACTATTACCTCTACTTTTAGGATGGAGATTTACTGCTGTGAATCTGACCGTTCTATTGTTGCCATAACTTCTCAAATCGACATCTCCAGTATCAAGGCAAGATTCTTGAAAACCCGAAAAAAATATTTGCAAATCTGGATTATCTGACGTGGTGTAACGTGATGACAAAATCCCTGTTACTTGTGCTAATCCAGATGAGGACAATGGTCCCGTTTGATTGCTCATGTACTGAGTCACGTCATCCAAATTAAATCCCAATGCGTTTTGTTGATTAGCGAGTGTGAAATCAAGACTGTAAGAAACATGATTGTGGAGATTTTTTCCAACTCCGGGTAGGTCGAGAACGACACGAATTCCCAAAGATCGAAGTTGCTCCTTCGGACCGATTCCGGATAGAAGTAAAAGTTGAGGAGAGTTTACAGCGCCTCCTGAGACTATAACTTCCCGAGTGACCCTTGCTCTACGAGTTCTGTTATTCTATAAAAACATATTGCTCTTTATTATCGTCATAACACGGAAAATCTCATGTTGAACGATAAATGATAATTACAAGTGCTTATCACGCTTGTTTTTTGTTTTATTGATGATTTAATTTTTAATACTGTAACAAAAGTATACTTACCAGTAAATATTCAACTCCGGTGACCCTTTTTTGGTTATTAATCAATAGTCTTGTAGCAGTAGCATTAAGAACTATATCGAGATTTTCTCTATTACGAATTGGACGCAAAAATGCTGATGCGGTACTCTGTCGAACGCCATTTACACTCATTGTTTGAGCAACTGTAAAACCGCGAATATTTGCACCAACCATATCTTCAGTTCTTCCGTAACCTGTTTCTTCGGCAGCTTTTAATATTGCGTCAGCAAATGATGGCTGATATGGAAATCTAATATTTTTAAAATGAACACATTATTACGTAATAATCTCTTATGTTATAAGTTACAGTATAATACGAAGTATGATGTTTAGAAAAAAAAAAATTAAAACCTTTCGATAACCATTGGACCTCCGGTACCGTGATATTGCCTTCCCACTCGATTTATTTCTCTATTATCTTCTGATTTTATAAAATATGGAAGAACCTAAAAAAATAATCAATGTTAATACACGAGGAGTACTTTTAGAAAAAATCCGAGAAAAATAAAACACTGACATAAATAATGTTTTTTTGAAAAATTATATTGTTATTAATTTGTTTTGTATTGATTAATATTTTTAATTAATTTATTTTCAAGTTATAGGCTTGAATAAATTATATAATACCAAAAATAATTTTCCGAAAAGAAAGATATAAATAATAATGAATTTAAAAAAAAATTTGAACCTGGAATTACTTGAAATTAAAGATTGAATTTAATTTAAAAATTATTGCTGTATAAGTTATATTTTATTTTAAATTGCGAACTTATTTTTAACAACCTCGTAATAAAAAAAAAAAAAAAAAAAAAACAATTAAATAATCACATAAAACATTACTTTTTGTATTCATTAAAAAAAAAATATATAAAATGTAAGCAATTACTTCTGCCCAAGACCATCCTTCATTGCCCATGGCAACCCAATTTTCATAATCTTTAGCATTTCCACGGTGATAAGCCATTCCGTGGTGAACTGTAGTACCACCGAGATTGCGTCCGCGAGGCCAGGAGCAGGAGCCGTTTTGCGCCAGACAAGCATAAGATTCATTGGTAGTCCTATACTTCCAATCGAGACTACTTCCTTGAAAATAAAATCGCAAATTTAAATATATATTATAAATGATGTTTATAACTATCAATTTGTCCCATATTGCTTGCATTTAATAGAAAAAAAAAAGCATTTTGGTAAACAATATTTGTAAATCATACCAAGATAAACTCCAAAATTAGATGGAATTTCGGCACCTGCTGGTTCATCAGGACCGGCTTCAATTAATAGTACTCGCCAACTGGGGATTTCACTCAGTCTAGCTGCAACAACACTACCAGCTGCTCCTCCTATATTGACATAAATATATTTGAGCATAAATTTATTTTGAGTAAAAAAATCGAAAATTGTTTTACTTTGATCTATATTATTTTTTAAATCTCATTTTAAGCTTTGTAAAATTCTAGTTATTATAAATTCCTTCAAATTTCGTCATTTTAAAATATAATTAAATTCACAACAAGCAATCAAATTTACTTCAATATAAAATGCAATAATTTAATTACTATCAATCAAGAGCAATTTCACTGCATCAATATAAACTAAAATTATTATTTTTATTAATAACATAGCAGCATATCTCACCTCCAATTACAATAAAATCATAAACGTCCCGTGGCTTTTTGTCAGCGGTAACACGACCACAGGAATCACCAATCGTCGGGATTGTGTCAATTATATTGTTTACAATATATAAAAAAAATACGTATGTCGCGGTAGTTGATGGACATACTTCTGTGAGAGAAGGGCCACCCAAAAACTGATTTTGACAAATTGTTGAAGAGTTGAAAATGCTAGGAACATCAGCCTGTTATATGTTTTATGATCGTTTAATTATTAATCAAAATTTCATGAAATAAAAGAAATAAACAATATCATATAATTTATTTAAAGGCACTGAAGTAAGCAGAAATTGCCGATTTTTTAATTTGATCTCAAATAAATAAATTATTACTTTAAAAATCACATTACATTGTTGTAATTGGTGTTTTAATAATTTATTTTTCAAATAAAAAATTCAAAACATTGCCAACTTCTGCTGTCTAAAGTAATTGGATTTTTAAAAATATTTCATTTAATTAAATAACAAACCATTCAACTGAAATTTTTTATCCTTTTGTGCACAAGTAAAATGATAACTGCTCTTTTTATATTTTTTATTTACATATGTTATATATTATTTAAACATTCTATTATTTTTAGCCAATATCAATCCATTCGTATGCAGCATAAATTAACAATATTATCTCCGACTTAGTTATCATTTTTAATGATTATGGATGTCAAAAAATTATAATAAATTATTTACTGGTTTTACTTCACGCTTTCGATTAGTGTCAATATGATTCAATTAATATTCATAAAAAATAATAGTCATGATTCTGTCTTTTGAGAGCCTGGGTCGATTCGAATTTGATGCAGAAAAAATGCAGAATTACTTTAAGATTTATTCAGTTCTTTTTTTAATGTTGCATTTGTAATATACATTTCTTTACGATGATGAGTATGTAAAAGCTTACTAGTTTATGCAAAAATATTTATAAAAATATTTTCTTTAGCTTTTTCAGTAAGGTAACGATTGCACTTTTTACATTAATTATATATGTAGATTAAACAAGAAAAAGTTAAATGTATTAATCAAGTTTAGGCTACATATGTTTTGAACTTTAAATGCAATTAAGATAAATAAGACTAATTTACTTTTAATTAGTTAGTACTTTTACACTCAACACTCAACCATTTTTTACGTACTGTAAAACTCGAAAACATAATTCAAATAAACTTTAAGTTGATCAATTATTATTTCACTAGTCTGTGGTTTACAACTTAAATGTGTTGCTTTATAATTGAGACATTTTCAATGAACATATTTTTATTTTTTATTTCTTATTCCGTTTTCTAGATCGCTGTACAAGATCAAATCTCATATAGCAATATTTAAAAACCGAACAATGTGTCATTGTTTCTAGACAAATAAAAATAAAAAGTATATAACACTTTAGAGGATTTAACTTTTGGAGTATTTTTATTTTAATCTTTATAAGCTTTTTATTTTTAAGTATTTTTATTCACGGTTTAGAAGCTTAAATAGTTAAAAAATAATTGAATTTTAATTATTTTAAGTATAATAATATCATCACAATAAATATAATTTTTTATTAACAGTTGATCAATAAGATTTATAATAAATGGATCTGAAATTTGATTAAATTTATGTCAAAATACTTATTAAAAAATAGACATCGGACCCCAGGGTCCTCTTAATCTCAACCACTCTTGTTTGATAAATGTTGCCGCTCTTTCCCCTATCATCATTGCTGGAGCACCCGTATTTCCAGACGTTACCTGAAAATAATTAATGATCTTTTAATGCATTTTTACTGATGGACCGTTAATATTAAAAAGTCAATCTTTAATATACGATATTTCGTAAGTCGTTTTTTAAAAATACATCGTTTTAATTGGAACCATGTATTTTAATTATTCAAAATCAGATGGATAAAAATTCAAGCTTTCTATTTTATCGATAATTTCATCACTCATTTTTATTTGAGTATTTAAAATTATTAATTTGTAATGACCAATTTTAATTTATAATTAAATAAATTTAGTATTTAAATTTATCTCTCACTTATGTAACTTTTCAATAAAATCTTCTTAAAATATATTATTTATGTACAACAATTTGAATAATTTATATTTAATCGAATTTTATTATTTTCTAGTCGATTTACTAAAAAGTTATTATATTTTAATGCCTTTTTCAGAATCTCTATCATCGAATTTATTAATTATTAGAAATGAATTGGCTCTCCGCGTTAACCATCAGATATTTGGAATATTCAGGCAAATTTTACGATGAAAATGAAAGAATATTCATTGGATAATGATAAAGTTAAAATAACTACTCGAAAATCGATGGAAACCTATAAAAAATTTTTCTGATACGGCCAATTTTTGTATCGGGCTATATATGGTTATATTTGTTTATATATAAATGGAAATAAATTAGTATTGTATTACAATTTTTTATTTTTTTCAAAAATGTGTACGTCAATTAACATTTAATATCAAACAAAATTTAGTTTAGTGATAAATTAAACTAAATACCAATGTCATATAAACTCTTTACGAGACTAAAATGATGATATTTATTTAAAAATTTTATAATACCTTAAACTGAACTCTCTTGTAAAGAGATGATTTAGCGAAGATGCGCTCTCCGTTGGAAGTTTTCAATACTACTTTTGGTAGAAAATTTACGTATGAACATACACGGAAAAAAAAAATATTGTTAAAATGACTATTCAACGTATCCTCAAACGACGTTTGCTTAAAATAACAATCCGGATTTCTGATTTAAGAATTCATTTGTTTGACTTAAAAGCATACAGAAAATAGCTCTTGTAAATATATGTAGTTTTGTCAAGACAGGCAACTGTTTCGTTAACGTGAGGATCTGTATAGTTGAATTAACTAAATGTAACGCTAAAATAATGATATGGATCGTCATTTTGATGATCCGCTGGATAGCTAAATTGGCTATACAGCGTATATCTCTAAAAAAAATGACTATACGGCGTATAGTCAGAATAACGATACGTATCAACTCAAGTCATTTGTGGATTTATAAAATTTTCTGTAATCGTATATTGACAAATGTAGTCATATCAGAAAATTTTTTCACGGGATTAGTAATGTATAATACAATATTATTTAAATTAATGATATTAATAACAAAAACAGAAAATCTGATTCGATTTTTATGTTAATTTTTATTATAATATACTGATAAATAAAAATATGCATACTTTGGGCATAATAGAAGTATCAGCAACTCGAAGGCCAGCGATTCCATGAACTTTTAGTTTAGAACTAACGACAGACATCGAATCACTTACTGGTCCCATTTTACAGGAACCGGCTTGATGATTTTCTGGTCCAGTATCTTGTTTAACAACACAACTCCAGTACTCGTTGCTTAAATACATAAACTGTGAGCATACTTGAACAGAAGGATTCATTAAGGTGAGGTTAAGTTTTGAAAGTTCACTTGAATTCATAAGGGATATAGCCAACTGAATGCCTTCTATTAAAACCGCAACGTCTTCAGGATCTTGAAAATAGTTTGCTTGAATGATAGGTTTACTTAGTGGATTATTGTCTGCCAAATGAATGAATCCTAAATGTAGATATTAAAAAAAAAAGTTTTTATTCCATCGTCCTTTCTTTCGTGTATAATAATGTTTATTAAATTGATCATATAATTCTGATTAATTTAAAAGAAAAGAAAAGAAAAAAAGTATGATAAAAAGACGATTAATTTAATCTAAAATGCACTTTATATCTTACAGCAATATAAAAGTTTATTCATTAGTATTGTATTAAATGAGCAACTGCCGTCGTATAATACCAACCTCTGCTTCGTGGATGAAGATTAGTTGGCGATATACTAATACTACGTTGGGTATTATCTATAAGCATTCCAATTTGGCCGGTAGTTGCACAGGTTGCTTGAAACCCTCCAAAGTAAAATTGTAAATCCGGATGATCTGGTGTACTATAACTCGAGGACATAATACCTGTGATCTGGGACATACCAGTTGATGACATAGGTCCTCTCTGACGACTTACGTATTCTAAAGCCGCGGCCCAATTCAAATCATACTCATTAGGTTGATTGATTGTGTACGTAAGTGTATAAGACACATGATTCTGCAAGTTTTCACCAACACCAGGCAAATCTTGAACCACGGGTACTCCCATTTCTTTCAGATGCTTTTTGGGGCCTATTCCAGACAACAGCAATAAATGCGGTGATCCAATAGCTCCGGCCGAAACGATAATTTCCCGAATTGACCTTGCCGTGCGTAATTCATTGTTCTTAATTTTTTTATTAAAAAACTCAATTAATATCATAAAGATTATTAATTAAAGTGAATAGAGTTAAAGAGTAAGAAATACACTCATACATGAACTTATATATTATATTATAAAAATCAGAAAGCTCTGTTTTCCTTCGTTTATTTTGTTGGAGAGCAGAATTTACTTGTCAATTTCTTTCCGTGCATGTACATTGAAAGAAGGTTATTGCACGCCTCGTAACGCGAAATATTTGAAGTAGTGCTCTACTCTCGCCTTGCTAAAATCAAGCAACTTTTTGAAATAAATATATCTCTATATTTGTCTTAAAAATTAAATGAGTACTATGAGGCGTGCACTTTTGAAATTTCCAAACTTTCTTAATATTTAATAAACCTTATTTACTGTTAATAAATGGTTTTTTATCATCAGATGATTCAATAAATATTTAATAGCAGTTAATAGATAGTAAATCGTTGATCATACACAATTTATTAATTTTTAATCAATGTTGATTAATAGTTAATGAACATTTTTATAGTTAAATTTTGGAATATTTAAATTAGTAAATCGATACTATAATAAATACTAAATATGTCATAATTCAAGGTTAAACACCTCTATTACAACGTAATTTATATTATTAAGTGTACATTAAGTTTATATCATCAAGTACAAGTTTTAACGTGGTCGTAAACTATAAGAGCCTTTAAGTGTCTGTCTAAATTAATTACCATAGAGAATAATTATTTTCTTTATTTTGTTACTTAAAAAATTGAATATTCATAAATTTAACCTCACCTTAAATTTAATCTCATTAAATTTTATTAAACTCTTAAAAAACACATCTTTATCGCGAAACATAAAAGCCATATTGGACGTGCTCTATCTCTGTCTAATAAGGCTATATTAAAAACAAACTATTGAATATTTTAAATAGCATTATTCTTTGAAGTCTTGCTTTATTAGGAATTTATATTTTTCACAGGATAGAGAATTATTTTTTAAATTTGTCATCATTTCGAAAAACAGTTATTCTACCCTTTAACTCTGATGTGAATTATAAAATGAATCTTACCTACTTGAATGTATTGAACGCCAACAGCTTTACGGCTTTCAATAAGTATTTTAGTGACTGTAGCATTCAACGCGATGTGAAGATTACGGCGATTTCTAATGGGCCGTAAGAATGCACTGGCACTGCTTACACGAACGCCATTTTTACTTGTAGATTGCGCTATTGTGAATCCAGTTATCGTGTCACCATTCAGATCACTACTTAAACCAAATCCTCGTTCTTCTGCTGCACGAATGATGTCATTAGATATAGAAGGTCGCCATGGAAATTTTTCTACTCTCAAGGGTCCTCCTGTACCGTGATATTTATCATCAAGTATATCTATATCTCCATTGTCCTCCATTGCCACGAAGTGAGGAAGCACCTATTATTTAAAGTGTGAATTATAAGTAGAAACTGTAAAACTAGCCTCTAAAAAAATTTCAAAAGAGTAATGGCTACTTCATTAAATTCACAAAATTACTAACATCACGCCAACCCCATTCCTCATTCCCCATAGATTCCCAGTCATCATAATCCTTAGCGTGACCACGAATATACATCATTCCATTGTGGACGGAAGAACCACCGAGATTTTTGCCACGTGGCCATCCACAAGATCCATTTGTTGATAGACAAGCATTTTCTTCATTTGTTGTTTTGAATTGCCAGTCGAGTTCAGTTCCTATAATTTTTTTTTTATATATACATACAATCTTTGTTGTTATAATTTGAAGTCTATTAATATTTCTTAAGTGATTTTTATTTTTTCGTATTCTAATTTTTTATAAGAGCAAACAATATATGAAATATTTTTAAGATATAGGGTCAGTTTTTCAATCCAAGATAAAATTTTATCCAGGATAAAATTATTATATTGTTTTAATTTTCGACTATTTCGATGATAAATTCATTCCAACACTTATTATTAAATTTATTTATTAAACTAAACCATAACATTTATACATAATTAGAATTGTCATGGTACAGATTAACATTACTTCAAAAAGTATGTTACGAAAATTTTATTGTCAAAGTCAAAGCCCTGATCTATTAATTTGTAATCCGAACAAAAACAGTTTCACTGTAAAAAAATCGCGCCAAGTCCACGTTCATAAGACTATTAAGAAAAAAATTAGTTTTTTTCTTTACAAAAAGATATAAAATAAAAAAATTAAAAAATCCAAGTAACCGATATGATTGTTTATTATTTTCGGAAATTAAAAAAAATTTTTTTGTAAATTTAAAAATTAAAAAAACAATTTTGGAACGTACTTGGTGTGCGTTATATTGTGCATTTCAATTTTTTTAAAGTCCTATTAAATAGATTTTACGAATTTAATTAAGAGTAAAATATTTTGCAACCGCGCACACCAAGTACGTTCCAAAATTTTTTTTTTAATTTTTAAATTTACAACAAAATTTTTTTTAATTTTCGAAAATCATAAACAATTATATCGGTTACGAGGATTTTTTAATTTTTTTATTTTTTATCTTTTTGTAAAGAAAAAACTAATTTTTTTTTCTTAATAGTCTTTATGAACGTGGACTTGGCGCGATTTTTTTAGAGTGAAACTGTTTTTGTTCGGATTTTAGTATTTTTTTTAATTATAATAAAAATTTACAATTGATACCAACTTAAATCTCGCGTTGGGTGCATTTTTTTTATAGCAAACTATTCCCTTGAAGCTATAGTTTATGTAAAAATAATTTCAGCGCACCCTGGCGGGTGTAGATGCAAGTTGTGAAATATCTTTTTTTAACTGTAGTGTCCCATCTTATGAAGGATTACTATGCATTCTCGAATATTTTAGTCTGTGGCAGATCACTTTGCCCATCGAAAAAAAGTCAGGATCGAAATTTTTGCGTTGCTATAGTTTGTGCTGATTAAATTTAGTAATTTCAAGTAGATTAATTGTTATATGTGAATATAATTAATTAATAACAGTAAAATAAAGTATGAATTACTGTTATAATATACAATTTAGGAAAAAAAAGTACCGTAGAATTAAATAAAATTTTGCAACCTCAAAATACCGTTCTGCTTACAGTAAACACAGTCGGTAGTCTGGCGCTCCGTTGACAACGGATTTGAACGGAACTTGGCGCCAGATTCTACCGAATCTGTGGATTATATTTCGCAAATATTGTTTTGTTTAGAATCATGAAAGTATTACTGAAGTATTAACTGAAAGTATTACTGGAACTTTTTAAGTGAAATTTATGAATAAAAAATCTAAAGAGGTTCTTAATCAGATTTAATCCTACAAATAAATTTTTATTTTATACAGCTTAAGTGCCAAAAAGGTTGCGCAAAAAAAAAACTGAAAAATGACAGTTTTAGATTATAATTTTTATGAATTTTCTAAAATGTAAATTTTAAAAAAAATTTTAAATCAACTTTTGAAATTAACGTTATTAAATAGTTATTTTAAATTGAAGCTTTCCAAATTTTTATTTTTTTTTTCTTTAAGTGCAACTTCACAGTATAAAAAGTAATTTTTACATTTTCGTTATTCCGTATGATCAATCTTTTTTCGCCAAGTCGTTTTAAGACATATACGTTTTAAAGTGAACTTTTATAGATTTTCGTAATTTCGGACTCTCCGACTATTTTGAAAAATCAAGAAATTACTTTAAACATTATCGATGTTTCTTAATGTTATGAGAAAAGATACTATTTGCAGTAAAATGATTCATTTTCTGAAAATTTGAATTTAATAGTCATACATAGAGCTTGTTGGTCTGAACTTACCTAGAAACATAGCAACCATGCTCGGAATATCGGCACCAGGTGGTTCATCCGGTCCAGCTTCCAAAAGTAAAACTTTCCACTCCGGTACGTCACTCAGCCGCGCAGCGACAACCGCACCAGCGGATCCTCCTATTCATACAAAATAGAATAACACAAAATAAATAGAAAAAAGTAAAAAAAAATTTTTTTTAAATAAGAGAAAACTATTTTTAATGTTTGAAGTTTTTGATGGAAATGAATGACGAGTTGTTAGTTAGAAATAAAAGGATATGTTATTCATCACATTCCATTCATGAATATAAAATCTGTCATGTATTTTCAAAGATATAACAAAAGGTATACATTGTATGAAATACATTATTTAGGGATTTGATTTTGAATCCATATTTGAAGAAACATTTCGCATCTACATCAATTGTGTCTTAATATATTGGATAATATATCTTTTATCGACTCTAAAATAAATATGAAGTCACAGAAAATATAACTGATAATTTTCAAATCGATGGTTTTTTTTTTTTTTAATTTTAATATCCAAACTTCGAAAAGTTCTGGTTATTAAAAGTCCAAAACTTGAAGAAGTTCCAAACTTAAAATTACATAATTTGAGATTCGCCCTTGGATGTTTAAATAATATGAGAGAGCTTAAAATTAAATTGCAACCAGTCGTTTAAAAAATAAAGTGAATGAAAAGCATTTTATTTGAATTATTGAGAGAATCAGTAGTGATTATTACAAATAGCTTTCTCGTGTATCTCTCGAGCGAGAGAATTTCATTCTGGATCAACGACGAAGAAGGAAACGTATTATTGTCGTGTGGAAAGCAGAACACCGTACTCACTAATCAGACGAGTGGTCTACTGGGCTAATTATCTAGTGTCGAAATTGGAGGGATGTCTAGATAATGAACCGTCATTAGTAGATTCCTCTAGCCGTCCAATCATTGTCAGCGTAGTCAAACATTGAAAATTCAATTGAACTGTTTACACCGAAATAATTCGATTTCATCGAAAATCTATTCTTGATAAATATTTTACTACTCAATTAGTACTTAAATTATTCATTACGCACTTCATTTATGAATTTACTATTCACTAAAGTAGTTATGCTTATCTGTTCAATCAGAGAATTTGATAATATATATTAATGAAATTTATAAAAAAACTTATGAATGTAATTTACTTTTATAATTCTGCCAGAACGTCATCGGTTATAAATTTTGAATAAGATGAATATTTGATCTGATTTTTTTTTAGAGTCTTTAAAATTGCACGACTCATGATGCGAAGCATCAGAGAGTGCTTTACGATCGAAAAATTTTTTTCGCCCCATTTTGGCAACTATTTTTTAGTATTATAGCCTTGTTAGTTCACGGAATCAAGATATTTTGCATACTATTGTCGAGATAATTTAATGGAGATTAATTCCATACTTGCTAAAAATTAATTTAGTGCAATAGAAACGGAAAAAAATATCAAAATAGGTCAAAAAATTTTCCTGTCCATCATGTATGAAACTCCGGAAACACTGTAACTTGTGAAAAAATCAATTATTTGAGTTAAATTTTTTTTTTTTTAATTCTAATCGACAATTGTAGGTCACCGAATGCGAATGGCTAATTAATTCAGTGTCGTTTAATTACAATTAATAAAAAACGAAAACTACAAGACTGTATACCTATATATATATCAATGTAAAATAACATGGATGGTGATATATCTATATCTATATATATAATGTACATTTATTCCACCAGAGGCGCTTGTACAGTACCTTCCTAGTACAGCTGTTTTTTCGGCAACTAATTTTGAACGACTTATGTTTTTTTTTTTTTTTTTTTAATATTTTATAATTAAATGAGCATTATGAGTCGTGCACTTTTAGATTTTCCAAACTTTTTTAATAAAATTGTCAGCTGATTTTTGTTAGTAAAAATTAAGATTTTCAGATAATTATTTTTACATACATTCTCTGTAACAATTGTTTATTATAATAAACTAAATGTCTGTGTAAAGTAAAAAAAGTTTGGAAAATCCAAATGAGCATGCCTTAAGCGCTCATGTCATACATAAAATATTTAGATCATAACAAAAATTATTCGTTTTTAATTTGAATTTTCCCGCGAGTAGTATTATGCCCTCTATAGGTTGAACTAATGAAAAATTTTAACAGATGATAAAACAGTTAGTAATTATACCACCATGTATATATAGTTTCTGCTTGTTTTATAGTTATTTCAATTCTGTTTATGAAAAATAATACATATGGCTGCCGAAATCGCAGAAAAAGTCACCGGACTGACAATCGAAAAAAATTAACTGTATCGAAACGGAATTATTTTGACACGCAATTTTCACAAGGGTTTTGATAAACTTCCTCAGGAATAAAACAAAAAAAAAATTAAATCGTGAAAGTAATTTTTGACAAAGTTGTGGTGTTGTCAAGCCCATAGCTCCCGTGAATACCACGCTCTTATTCATTTAATTCATCAGAAAAACAAGTTTTTTCTGAGAAATCTTATTTAATCGATAAGAAAATTTTTTTAATTTGTTCTATAGTTACTATTATTTATTTCAATATGCTTTTTATCCATAATTTTTTTCGTTCAAATTATGAAAATCACATTTTAATCGAAATCACGATTTTTAGGCGAGAGTAGAGCATACCTGCGCGCTTCGCGCTTAAGGCATGCAATACATCAAAGTTAGTATGCAGAGCAAGAAATTGATTAATTAGAAAATTTCAAAAATAAATAGTACAAAGAACTGATTGTGGAAGATGACGTTGACGAACAAGAATTCTCTTTTGACTTGCCGTTGCGCGACATTAATGATTCAAGTGAGTTAACGCATACTTTGTGGTATAACATAGTAGTGTGCACTATGGCTTTTCTTGAGCGTATAGAAATTCTGAAACTCTTAACTTGTGACTTAAAGACGCGAAGGTTCAAATGAAATTGTCGACGAACAACTTTCAATGAAATGAAGATCAACATTCTCAAGTTTCGTTGCTTCTTTATCCTACCAATGAATTACACACATTCAAAGAGAGACAAAAAAAACCATCGTGTTTCTAAAGTTTACAGACAGAAATACTTTTTAATTATATTCAGCATAATTACAAATAATAAAATTAGTAAATCTTTATTTTAATTTTCGAATTAGCGATAAATGAAGGTATTTTTTATTGTTTTACAAATTAATTTAAAAGTGAATAAATGAATAAAATAAATAATCATAAAGCATTTTAATTTAGTTAAATATTAGTTATTAAAAGTCTATTCAATTTGTACACAAGAGCGCATACCTGTGCTCGTTTTATTTTTATTTAGGTTACTGTACTAAAAAACTAATGAACTTTTAATTGAAAATTATGAAACATTTCACTTATTTATTGTTTTCATTTCATAAAGTAAAAATTTAAAATAACTCAACTGAGGGTTGATAATAACATTCATATTTAATATTAAAATATTATATTGTTGGAAATAAATACAATTGTTGATGTTCTAATATAACTTGATTTACCTACACATCATTTGATATAGTCATATATGCCTATGTATAATTTTGTGATCAGAAGTAGTGTGTAAAATCTCTGACAAAGAACGCATGCAAGCTAAATCGGATCCATACTCAACAGTCAAGTTTCAAAATAAAACTAATTTTTTTTACTGTCATAAGGAGTTTATTTAATATTGGTTTTAAGTTTAATTAACTACTAAATAATTGTTCGTTTAAACAAAATGTTAATTGACCGATAAATTTATAGAAATAATCAAAAATTATAACAAAACATTTTTGTACGTTTATTTATAGCTTGATTAAACAATAATATAACAAGTAAAAAATGACTAAAACGATTCAATAATCTATTTTTGATAAGTCATTCTATGTCATATTAACCATCAAAATAACTGTTGAAGAATTCAATTTATCAAATATTTTAAGACCTTTTTTTATACACGGAAAAAAGTAAACTGTAATATTCACTCGGATTCCGGTTAATTTTTGTAGTTTCAAACAGTAAAGCGGACATCGGCGTGGCAAAAATATAAATATTACAGAACTTAATGTAGAAAGTATAAAAGCCACATTTTATAATTTAATATCCAAAATAAGTGATTAGTAGCTGTCACTACAGTAAATAACGACTCTTTCATCTTCAAAGAATTACAGTTTCAAACAGTAAAAATTGCTGTTTCAATATATAGTCCATATTATGAGGAGAAGGGGAACTCAGATGAAAGAGAAGGGGGTCTCACTCGGGGAGAATTTAACATTTGAAACAGTAAAAATTATACTTTTAAAATATACATTTTACCAGTCCAAGCAAGTCAATAATTACAGTTTGATTTTTAGCGATGCGTTTATAATTTACCATTTTACTTTGTAAACATTGACGTTGCTTGTATTAGAAATTTACTAACTTTATTTTACTTATACTTTTTACATATCATAAGATCATTTTTTAGGTAACGAAATGATGAATATCAAAGTCTGAATTCTTAATTATAATACTCTAATATTTTAGACATTCACATAGCGAATATTACTGTTTGAAATAGTATTTTCTTCCATGTATAGAGTAAATTGTAACGTTTAATTAGGTAATAATTATAAAGTAGTAAGAGTAAAATATACCGATTTACTGTTTGAAATGGTAATTTTTAGCAGTTGATCATTACTTATTATAAATCGACTGTTATTTATTACAGTTTACTTTTTTCCGTCTAGAACATTCGGTCCCTTACAAGAATATGCTTTAATCTCACTGCGATAATGAGCCATTAGAGAGTTGCAGAGTTTCAAAGCTCAAAAAAACATTTTTCGTATGCTATTTAAATCAGAATAAGAAATTTCGAAATTTTATAATTTCGAAACAAAAAAAACCTCTCTGAAAATTTCAGGATCTCTTGAAATTATTCGAAGGTATTATAGTTAACAATTTGAGCCAAAAATTTCGTGTCAAAGTTTGATTTTAAGTTTGATTCTAAAAACTTTTCAAATATTTTGGAAAAAATTTTTGTTTTTTATAGCTCGTATTCTTCTCATTAAAACAAACAAACCAATTCTGTATCCATAATATTTTTTGAGATATTTAAAGAATTATTTTAAAAAACTAGAAAAATAATAAAACTAGCAAAATTTTGAATAATAACTTTCAAAAAAAAATTTTTTTTTGCAAATCTTTGTTTTATGAGAAAATAAGTTTTGATCGATTTTCATCTAAGTTAAAAGGGGTCGATTCCAACTATCGTCAATTTGACATGGAATGAACCCGATATAATGCAAAAGTTTGTAGCACAGTAATTCGATAACATTTGAGGATTGATTAATCAACAATCAAGTGGAGATATCAAAGAAATGAGATATTCAGAGCTATCGAACCCGATTGAAACTGCAGATGAAACTAATAAACGTGAAATTAAATTAAATTAATTACATTATTACTTTAGAAACAATGATAATCCGCAGCGTTATATAATTATTTGCATTGTTTTTATATCTGACTAGAGCTCTCAAGTTGGATGGCATAATGAGTTGAGTTTTATTTATAGTTAATCACAAATGTCATAATTAAACTTTACAATTAGTACAAAAGGCATCCTGTTTAATTATGCAGAACGAATGAAGTAATTGTAATTTATATTAATTAGATTTTTAGATTCATCAATTAATTTAGGTAGGCAACTTTTTAAATCGAGTTATTATATAAATAACTTACCTCCAATCACTATAAAGTCATAATAATAATCAGCTGGATTAGTAGGAAACACTCGATTGCACAACTGAGATACTTCGGGGTTGGTACGAATAAATGTATCCAAGAGAGTCATGAATAGAAGAAACTGTGACCCAGGACATATTTGAGCCAAACTAGGCCCCAAAAATGGTTCCACACATTCAGATAAAATTGAAACATTGTACGACATTTTTATTTATTACGTCGTACTATTATAATTGAAAAAAAAAAACACTTCAATTTTAAATAGGATAATAAAGAATGACTAATTATTCTCACAAATGATAATATGCAAAAATTGTTATTTACCAAAACACTGTTTTATGCTTATATGGCTTTCTCTGTACACATTCTTATAAAATAGTAAAATTTGAAAGTCGATTTGTAGATATAAAATGTTTAAACTAAGTCAAAGTTCACTTATTAATTCATCGAAATGATAATAGTCTTTAGCTGCTTGTTGTCTGTGATAACAACCAAGAAACAATATTATGCCACGTACACAAAGAACACTGCACTAATAATGATTACTGCAAAACTTGATCCTGCATTTATGAATATAAACGAAAAAACTACTTTGAATTCAAAATGAGTTTAACTAGTTAAAATTTTCTTTAGATAAAATACAGCAAATGAATATAATCGGCTTTTGAAGCTTATTCTTTACTGCACTGAAAAAAAAAATTTTGTGCTCGTTACCATCTACTGTATTGCAACGAGAGTATCGTTACAAGTACAATCCGTATAGCTACGAGTAGCAGTCTGGATAGCGACCGTCGCAATCCATTTAGGTGCTATGCACGATGGTATTGCTACCACTAGTATACAGTTTTACTAACCTCGGATCCTCTAGATAAAATTGTGTGTATCGCGGCAGTAGCAATCGTATCGTGCAGATCAGAAAAATTTTTGAATTCATTTAAAAGGTATAAGTAAAAAATATCAATTATAACTTAGAAATTTTTTTTATTTCTACCGGAAAAAAAATTCAATGAATTAAAAATAATTACAAGGAATGAGAAAATATTTTACTTAATTTAGATTTATTAAAAATTAGGACAACAGATCAGCTTCATTTCAATAAGTTTCAAAAATAATATTAAGCAAAAATTAATTAATGACAGGGGTTTAAAACAATATCAATCATTTGTTTGGTCAAAAAGTGATTATATAATCCCACACTTTAGACAAATTTTTTCTTTTAATTTATACTGAAAAAAAAAGTTAACTTGAATCAAGAGAAAAATTCTTGGATCAAGTAAAACTTACATAAACCGAGAAAATTTCTTAATAGATTAAGAATTTCTTTGCTCAAGTCAAAACGATAAAGTTCTTCAAAATTATTTTTTTATTTCAAGTTAATTTTTTTTTCTGTATACAAAATTAATCTATAAAGAAATGTAAAGGATCTACAAATTTCTTACAAAAGAATATCGTTTTTTAACTTAAACTCAGTGTCAATTGAAAAATTCTTTCTATTCTTCATACTTCTATACTTTTAGCCTTTTACAAGTAATTAGCAAACAGTTTGCATTAAGCAAGTACTCAAATTGATAATAACAATAACTCTATATACGTACGGAAAAGTGGGTCAAAATTACCTTCATTAAGTGCAATATAAATATTTTTGTATACTTATAAATTAATATTAATAAATTAATCGCCATTTTATGAATAAAAAAAAATGAAAATATTTGTTCTGTCAAGATTAACGATTTTAATATTCGAGAGTAAACCAATGCTTAGGATTATGAAATAAAAATTTCAATAAAAGTTAACTGAACTGCCGATATTTTTTTATATAATCAAAGATATAATTATCTTCAAATCAGATTGAATAAAAACACGTAAGTATTGAGAGTGCTTAATGATTTAAATTCTGATGAATAAATAATAGAGTGAATTATAAATTTAATTAAATTAACGTGTGAACGAACAAAACCATGGTTGATGATGATCAATAGCCGATTTGTGAACATAACCCGGTGGAACTCGCTTTCGGTCACAGCACACGCGATGTGTCACGAAATCGAACAGTTGAGTGGAGGTACGAACCCGTGAGAGAATAAGAGAATCACAACGAGAGATCTAGCTAGCTCGCGCATAAACGCCCGTCACACCCAATACCAGAATTCATCGCACACAGGAATTCCAATTGAATCAAATGGTATTACGCACTAAACCTTCTTCATACGTCCATGGACCTCACATGTGAAATTATTCCATTTGTCGCGCTTTAAAATAAAATATCAAAACTAAATTCAATCTACTATTTCCGTCAGAACATTTGATCTCAATATTTATTTTTATTAAATAACAGCTTAGAAAAAATTTAATCAATTTTTTAATGCTTATAATTTGTTAAATTTGAATTTATTTAGGCAATTAACGTGTTGAAAATAAATTTGCACAAACTTTATTCAACAATAGACTCACGGTACTGCAAGTCCTTTCACTTTGTCGCTACAATTTATGTTTTGTCTCCCACTTCTATTCTCAACAATCTCTAATATAATATAATTGTTACACTTTGATAACAATAATAATAATAATAATAATAATCAAAAGCTTGTTAAAATATTTTATTAATTCGTAATCTATTCGATAATTAAATATTGAACCGATAATGTTATTCATAAATTATATGTGACACACAAATCGGCCTAATATTGATTAGTCATGATTATAATAAGTGATTATATAAAGCTGAATATGGAATTACCGGATAAATTATTGATGTGTGAAAATGGTGTGAATGCATATGATGTTTTGCGATAGATACTGATTGTGATTACAAATCATTCAGTATTTGAGTGATGTTAATTGGAGTGTAACATGATTGTTTGGTAGAACCAATAAGCATTGAGGTTGAAATTATGCACTTTCTATACTTTTTTTATTCAAGATAATTATTAATGTGTTATCGATTATTTGAATAGTGCTTTTTATCTCTATTAACACTTCATTTTTTATCAATTTCATTGAAAGTTATTTAGATTTATAATTAAATGCATTATTTAATATTTAAATGATGTATAATAGGGTTGAATTGTTTTAATAAAATCAAATCGGAGGCTTATTCAAATAAATAAAAAGACTGTAAACTAAAAAAATTTATTTGTTTACTATTGAGCTGTTCAAACTTTTTTTCGTTTCTTCTCAAGAAATATAATTAGAATATTTTCCTGCTGAGTTTATAAATTTTGCTGTTTCTACGTAGTTTGATTATTTTTTAATAATTTATTTCTTAAAAAGATCTAAGAATTATTGATTTCTGTTTATCTGAGTGCTGCACTAATTGAACAATAATTCTAGTGTCGGTGCAGTCTTATAGTATTAACTACCTCAATCAGTAAGATTTAATTTAATAGGTTTAATCTAAGTAAGTAGTTTCATCGATCATATATATTTAAAATTACCGTCAACTCCGGATCGTCGGAATCAATCGCGGAAATTTAGGAAATGAGTTGCATTGAATAACTTAAACCTTATATTCGACTAGAAACTATTCGACTTGACATCACCTATTCAACCAATAGACTATTCAGTGCTACATTCTATCTTTTTTTTTTTACTACCAAGCTTGCAATTATCCATCCATTGCATTTATCATCTAGTGTTCACTTATGAAAAGTTATAAAAAAAATAATTTTCGAAAGAAAAAATCTCCTTATCGATGTTATTGTTAATAACTAGTAGACTTTAGTGATAGCATTAATTTTTTTTATTTATTCATTTAGTGGAATATACATGATTTTCTGGAGGAGAAAATTATAAAATCATGCCTTAAGTTGTCAATATCATAACTTTTAAAGTTATTCACTTTTAAATTTAAAGCAACAAATTTATAAGCAGTTCATTGCATTAATTTTGTTTGTTAAAACTTATTCTCTATTTTGGTTATTATACAGACAGGGTTAAATATTCTTAAAGATATATGAATAATTTTTATCTAAACCATAATCATTTTACTGAAAATGATAGAGAATATAAAAGTTTATGTTATGTCCAACTTTAACAGCGAATAACTTTTGAAAATATAAATTGATCCAAAAATCATAAGAGAATTTTTCTGTTGAGCATTTAATTTCCTAAAAAATTATATATTACACTATATTTGGGAAATTGGTTGTAAGACAAAATGTAAAATTCCACGGTTTAAAAATATTTTTTTTCACGCTAAAATTTTAACAGTATCCATTTGGGCATCCCCTCACAAAATTTCAAGGCCATCCATGCAACTTTCCGCTAATTCTATATCTAAGCGCTTAAAATTTCACTTATGACGTTTTTGAGCTCTTCAAGCTCAAAATAGAATTTTTATGTTATATCGAGCTCTCCGAGCTCAAAGAGTTAGCTGTTCTAAGCTTTTGAGCTCTTCGAGCTCAAAAGTCTGATAGAAGTTTAATAAAACAGTATTTTTTGAATTTTCAAACCGCAATAACTTCTGAATGAATGAACCGATTTTCACACGGTTGGCAGTATTCCACGCAGTTTTTCAAATTCTATGATATACTTTTGAACACAAACTGATCGAACCGAAAATTTGAGAGAAATTTGAAAAAATTACTTTTTCCGAATTTTTTCGACAACGATAACTCACGAACCAATTAACCGATTTTCACGATCTTGATGATGATCAACGTGTTTTTTTTGGGCTCTAATAATTATTTAATTTCATCAAAAACGATCCAAATAGAAATGTCGAAGTTATGTAAAAAAAACACTTTTTTCGGAATTTTTCGTTTCCGATAACTCTCTAACAAATCAACCGATTTTGATGGGACTGGTAGCAATCGACGTGGTTTTTTTAAATTGAAAGCGGATTAGTTTTTGGAATTGATCGGTCAAGCCGTTTAGAAGTTATTCCAAAAAAACAATTTTTTGAAAATTTTATTTTTGAGATTTCTCAAAATCTAGCGATCCGAATTGATTCAAATTTTCACGAAATTTAATGGCAATGATACTCATTGGCTCGCCACCTATTTCGATCCGATATGTCGAGCCGTTTAAAATTTATAAGAGGTTAACATACATACACAGCCGCTCGGACACCATCGCGGGAATATTCAGGGAAGCTTCCTGTGACCTTAAAATGTCGAGATCTGATGAAAACTCGATTTTTGCAAAACGGGTTGAAACCAATAACTTCCCGATTTTTAAAAATTTTCAATTTTCTTAGCGGGAAGT